GCTGTTATTAGCTGGGAACTCAAACTAACTGACTTCCAATATTTCCGTTTCGGGATGAAGTCAACAGGGCCCTGAGAAAACGTAAAGCGGCACATATTAATGATGACATAGCAGCTCGAAGTGTCGGCAAATATTCGTCCTGTGTTGCGTAATAATACTGCTCGGATTTCTTCAGGTTTATTGGCTGAGCCTTAAAGCAATAAGAAATAAAGAATCTGAATAAAAATAAGAGGCGAAGCCTTAACAATCGAGTCGAGTAGTCGAGTAGCCCCCAGGAGTTTGGGAGATCACGGCCCAACTTATGGGGATCCAACCTTCCCAATGGTAAAGTTTACAGGGTTAATGTGAGTCAGAGATATGTTGTTCTGATGTGAGTACAACAAAAATTGCTGCGAAACTAATTGCCGAGCAATTATTATCCTTTGAAAGATAACTGAGGCCAAAGTTAAAATGAGCGCTTGCTTCTAAAACGCCTCATGTTGCAGTCCGTGCGTTAGCAAGCCTGCGCATGAGAACGGCATCGTAGAACTGAGGTATATTTCGTACGCGCGAGGAGCGGCGTCGAGTAAATGGGCAAAATAGGTACAAAAAAAAACTAAGGAGGAAAGAAGTTGATAATTACTTCCCCATGATAATTAATTGTCAACATAACAAAATCACAAAACAACGGAAACGCACATCGCTTCCGCGACCAGGGATCAGCCTCTTTGTCTATAACAATGCCTAGTTTTAAAAGGGCGTTTTAAAGAGACTGGCATGGAACAGGGATATCTGCTGGACTCTGGCTTGGAACAGCCAGAAGCCCCTGCGAACCTTAGCGTAGGCAACCCGGCCAGCCACTCTTGAATGGCGGGTTGGCCTACCCTGAAGGCGCTTCGTTGTTCGAGCTTGCTTTGAGTGCTTTGAGAGTTCCGTCAAGCGCGCGCTACCCAATGGCGGAGGGAATTTGTACTACTCACTCGCCAGGAATTAGTACTCAGTTAGTACTCTCACCCTGTCACATTATTAGAATTTGTACCAACAAACTGAGGCGCAATTCCAAAGCGATGTGGGGTGGGGCGTGCATGACGTTTCCACCGCCCAATTTTGTCCGATCCCGACGCAAAGCAATCCATTCTGTTCGGAGGAATTATTACTTTCCGAATATGATCTTGCCAGAATTTTTGTACTACCTTCTAACACCATGAAAATCGAGGTAAAAGTCAGCCCGGCGCCTGCATAATTAGGGACAATTTTTGTACCGAGGTTAGATGTGTCGATGTGCACATCGACAGACATGTCTTTGCGCACACCTTAATCAGATACAGATTGGTATTTAGGGACAAGTTGTTCCTGGGCTAGGTAAATGCATTGCCTTGTATGTAACGTAAATACAAATTGGTGTTTGACCTAGGAGTGCACATCTTGTCTACTTACAAAAATAGTCCCTGGCCGTTAAAGTGTGTATTCTACTTGCAATCTTTTTTATGATGACCCACAGCAACCGCTGTGACGAGTTCTCTATTTCTATGAAAGCAGTTTGTCAGTGAGACGCATATATTCTTTAGCTTTCCACATCCCTGCTCCTTATACCTACCGCACGCACGCTTTACCTTTTTATGGCTCTGCACTTTGTTTCTTTGAAGAAAGAGTCGCGTCTGCTTGCAGTACTGTACTGTACCAGCACCAGCACACAGTATTCAATAATTACTATTTTTAATTTCGGAGAAATTACCGGAAATCTCCAACTGCCTTTCTTCTTACAGTGAAATGGATCATCAACGAGTTAAAATAGCGACTAACGAGTTGTGTGTATCATTTTTTAAAATTTAACCACCCCGCCCCTGGCTTGGGAAAATCTATTGATGAAACGGGCTTACGCAAATGATCTGGTGTTTGTCTGTCTAAAAGAGAGATGAGCTAGAGTCTTCATATTTTCAGGGTCTCTTCAGAGTTGCTCCCGATTCGCCCACGGTAAATCTCCCCACCACCCCACAGGTGTAAGAAAACCGAAGAAAACGGAGAAAGTTGCTCACCAAGTGGTGTGCTTGTGTGCTTTTCAAATTGCAAATAACCTTACACACTTCGCAAACGTCTGCGCAACTGCACGCCTCCTGGTGAGCAACCTTTGACACTTTGGTGTACCTTTTCCTGCACTGCAAAATGCTTGCAAAGAACAGGTTCGTATTGCAAACTATTTTCTTTGCAGCTTGCAAAGAATTTTCAAGCATCGTAATACGAACTAGTTCTTCGCAAGCTTACAAACAATTTCTTTGCAATGCAAACACATTGTTTGCAAGGATTCTGCCAGCTTGCAAAGAACTTCTTTGCAATACGAGCTAATTCTTTGCAAGACAATGCTCACAAATTCTTTGCAACGTTGCAAAAAATATAGTTTGCAAGCATTTTACAGTGTGTACTGTTACTACGACCAGTAAAACCAAGAACATCTTTCGCTTGACACAAAATTGTCGTTTTCTATTGAAAGCGTGGAAGCGAATGAACCGTGCACCGGGATTCTGTACAGCTTCTACCTTCAAGCCTGTTTATATCGATCGATCGATCGATCGACGATATTTGTCGGCATATTATCGATTCCCGACGGACAATGATGATTGGATGATTGTTTTTTGATGCCGGCGCGGTGATGGACGGCTGTCACTTGCGCGCGACACCGCCGGCGCCAGCGGGCTCGGTGCGCGGGCGGGGCGGGGTGGGGCGAGGCGGGCCGAGCCGGGCCAGCCAGACCCACGTACTTCTCGCAAGCTCACTGAGGCTGGTTTTGTGATACCTTCAACCAAAAATGTGCGAGAACAATAGATGGTTTGCGATTCCCACGCTATTCCGTTGACATGGCCATACGTATGGCTACAATAAGCTGTGATTGCGACTCCCCCCCCCCCCCCCCACCCTGGGACTTAAGGTGCTAAAACGGCATGATTACTGATTTTCATCGTAAACTAAATTGCGATAAAAAGCAGTAATGGGATCAAGCTTGCTTTATTGCTAAAAAATGTGCGTTTGTTATGAAATATATTTGTAACCTTACGAAATGTATCCTAAATTGATACTTAATAAATATTTTCGTAATTTGTTTTTACAAATGATTACGTAACATGTTTTTGGAAAATCACGAAAACTGTTTTCAGTTTACCTGAAACCTTTCACTGTGGCCTTTCCGCTGTTGCGTCCTGGATACGAAGCTACGTCATGAAAACATCCTTACTTGCTTTTCGCTGTTTAATCATTTGTACGACACATGACACCGAGGGGCGGGGAGCCATAATGTCACTCTCATGTTTGTCCCACAAGACTCATCGAAATAACCCTCTCCCACCCCCACCCCCCAAAAAATGTTTATGGGAATTTGGGGGACTTACGAACGAGTGCGTACTTCTTCCTTTCGCCTCGTACTTTTACGTACTTTTAGCATCATAGTCACAATTATAGACCGCTTCTCATTGCGCTCTTCGATGCTGGCAGTATTTCTGGGTAATCTTGTTGAAAACTGACGCTGCTACCCCTCGGTATCCCGCGGTACCCCGCGGCAGCGCGGCCCGGCCCGGGCCCGCGGGGACGCGCATTGCTATTCCGCTCACAGCTGTGTGTGAACAGAGTGTCCCCGGCCGGGCCGGTCAGCCCCGGCCGGTCAGTCGAGCAGCGCTGCCCTTATCGGTACCGGTCCTGACCCTCCGCAACTATCGCAAGAATGTCAGCAACAAAGAAGCTGCTGGAAAAATTTAATTCCCGGCCGTTAGTGCCTTGCCGCTGGTCGGCCTGCCCCTGGAGCCCGTAGACGTGTGTTCCAGGACTCACTGAGAAAAAATTTTCTCCCCTAGGACTATACAGTTGTCTATTGCGTCCTATTTTGGTCCCAGCACTAAACATTTAGTTCCCGCGATCAGAAACTTTGGTGGCAGGCAATGAACATGTGAGGCTAGGCAACAAAACTTTTGTCCTTAGAGCAAATTGTTTAGTGCGTCAAAAACTTTCGGTCTGGGGACAAAAAGTCCAATGCCCAGGACTAAAAAATTTTCTCAGTGCTGGAGCCGGATGGCTCCCGGGGGCTCCAGGCCGGGATCTGTGTGAGAACGCCTGCTCCTAGAGCTGTACAGGTGTTCCGGGAGCTTGTTTTGGAGCCGGTATATCGGTTGTCGTGTCCATGACCCTTGCTCTCGCTGCTGCGGGGCCCTAGAACTGAAGTAAGATATATCCCAAGACTCTACTCCTGGAATTTCCAGTCCATGCTGCAAGTGCTTAACCTAAACCTTGCTCCGAGGCTAGTTTTCTCTGTAGCTTCCTGTAACTTGCAGCCCTTGCCCTGCAAGGCGTGACGTGAGCCCGACCTAAGCCTGAAGAGGTGCTGAGGTGCTGCCAGCTCTCCGGCTGGAGTCTCGACTGCCGGCGGCCGTTAGCCACAGCCAGAGAGCGGGCCTAGGGCTAGGCGGCCTAATTACTGTGGAGATGGGAGGAGCCTCCGTCCTGAAGTTAGGCTCCTGGAGCCGGGGCCGGCCTCCCATCCTGACGCCCGCCTTGGCCAATCAGAGACTGCGGGAGGGAATGTTTCTATCTTGACCAAAGTACTATTTCTTTGCAAATCGAACTGGCACGGCGGGACTTCTTACTGCCTTTAATGAACTGGTCTTGCTGGACAAAACCTATAGGCCAAAACAAGTGGCTGGCAGGGTGTCGTAACGGAACGCGTAACGAAAACGCATAAAACCGCAATTAAAATTGCAATTTTAATGTGTTATTGAAGCGTTTTCGGAAATATTCAAACGTATTCTCATTTATTATGCTCGCAGAAAGATGAAAACGCTTCAAAAACGCTTTTAAACGGAAATTTTATCTTCGGTTTAGTGCGTTTCCGTTACGCGTTACGTTACGTTACGACGCCCTGGTTGCTGCCACAATCAGAAACTATCTCCCCCATTGTCCCCCTCCCTTTCACCTTGGTATTCTTTCCTAAATGCCAAATATCTGCATAGCTTGTACAATATTTTCCATGTTCGTTGTTTCAGGAGTCTGACGATACCATGCCGTCCCCGAGGTCCGTGGACGATGGCGACATGAGCGGTGGCGAGTCGTCCGGCGGAGAGTCTCCGCGCGCCCTCAGCCCCGAGCCCAAGCCCAAGTTCACTCTCCCGGACATGATCCGGGCAGGTAAGTTGACCCCTTTGCCCCGGTGGTGCACTGCCTAGGCCTAGCGCCTGTCAACATTTCTCATGAAAAACAAACTAATTTGGCTCAAAAATGCCACACTTGTGGCTTTACATGAGTATTGTTTTCCATTTTTTTTAAAAATGCTATTTTTGTATGACTTTGCAGAAATATCGTTTTCCATTGAACTACGGGCGTTATTATAATTTACTATATTTTTGAAATTGTGTACTTTTTGCTTACACTTCTCGGCAACACTGGACGCTTGCATGCGCTGGTAATTTGAGACAGTACCGGGTGATTCGGGGAGAGGGCGATGGGTTTGCCTACTGGCTGTGCCTGTGAGACACCAAAGGCCCAGGCAAAGCCGCCACCACCACCACCTGCGCCTTCTCTGAATCACCCGGTACAGTAAGCAAGTCCTCGCGCTCCGCATCGCCGGGTGTGAGTGGGCCTGTTGGGCTGGGGCCATGGAGCGCCTGGGGCGTAGGCAACCCATCCGGCCTGACTGGTCGACGGGCTTCTATGCCTCGCGGCGCGTCTTCTCAGCGTTGGGGCCAGAGACACACTAATATTCCGGGGCTGAGCTGCAGTGCCTCCAAAGTTGCAGGTTCGTGTGGGCTACTTCCTCCTCCGCCCATGTTAAAGCATAGGCGAAAAAAAAAAAGGAAGCCCGCAACAGCCTCCCCTTTTGGAGGCACTGCTGAGCTGCTCTTGGTTTCACGATATTATAGAGTCATACTTCACTCGAACACTTCACTTCCTGTAGAATACAATATATTGTCATTTGGTTACTTTACTTTTTTAAAGGTTTACTTTCCTTGGCAGGTATAAAAAATGTTCTGCAGAAAGGTGGAGGTGGTACCTCACTGACTCCAGCTAGCGCTCCTGAAGCCCACCAACAAACATCAACGTCCACTTCTTCCCCACTGACATCATCGGCATCTCTCATTTCAAGTTCGTATTCCCCCCATTTTTCAAAGAAATGCATCAGTATCTCTATTAAATTCATGAATTTTAAAATAGTAGTGTTTACTCATAGTTGCTGGAAACAATACAAAATAATATGTTTTTTTATGTCTTACCCAGCATCTTACCCAGGAGTGATGTACCAAACTGCTCAAGGCCTGGTATATGCTACTCCAAGTCCCTCACTACCCAATGGTGTAATATTGAGTCTCCCACCTGGCATTCAACTTCAACCACACAACGAAGCTAACGGTAAGGTAGTTCTCATGCCATTATACAGTTTTCTTGTTATCAGTATCTTTGGCTGATCTCTTTTCTGAATGGTTTACAGGTAGTTCTGCGTCATCATCATCATCATCAGCTCAAGCTGCAGCAGCTGCAGTTTTACGACAACCACAATTTATAAGAATACCCTTCCCAATGGCGTTGTCAGACCCACAGGTTTCTGTACCATCACAGTCACGAAATATTATGTCAGAAGCTGCTGACTTAAGTAAAGGTCGTAAATAACACATTGTGATTTCACATGTAATTTTTTATTGTAACATATGTCGCTCATTATAAAAAAATAGGTTTTTTTTCATCTTCATTTTGTTTTTAGCCACTTACATGTGTGGAAAGTAGTTCAGTGAATTCATTGATTTGAACTCTCATCATCCATGGCTGGCACCATGCAAACTGAGTTACTGAACAGCAATATCCTTTCATATGGTCTGCTTATTGGTGTTTTTTGTAACTATTGAACCAATTGAATGTATTAATTGCGAGATCTGGGGTTTCATATACCAAAGGTTAATCCTCTAGTAATGTGATTACCACCATACATTAGGTCTGCAGTGTAAGAAGAAATAAGAGATTGGTTTACCTTACTACACTGTTTGGTTCTGATGGCCAGTTTGTTATGTGTAACAAATTTTGTTATTTAATATTTATGTTGAGAGGTTCTGGTAGGATTGACTACCATCTCTTTCAATTGCTGTTCTGCTTTGTGACCGTCCATTACTTAGAGAGAATAGTAACTCTGCACAAACATTTATACTTATTCTTTTTAAGTCATTGAATACATTTGACGTCAGTCAGCCAACTAAAGTTGTGCTGTTAGTTTTCTTGTTTCATGTAGTAGATGTTATTGTAGCTTCTTTTTGATTTTCTAATTGTATGTGAAGTGTAAGATGCGGACACAAAGTTTTGAGTACATAGTGAAATTTTTATTTGGACATATACAATGTAACTTTGTAATTTTCTGCATAATTTTGTGTCCAAAATAATTGTGATGACTAATTTTTTCTTGAAAAAGAAGTATGATTTGGACAGATTCTTTTGTTTAACCAATTCATTGATAAATTTAAAATTTATCGTAGAAAAGCCTTCTGTTTTTGTAAAGGGGACCAAGAAAATTTTAATACTTCTTTGTATGAAAACAGGCAGTATGTAGCTCATGACTTTGTATAATTCAATGAGACTTTTGTAAAAATTGAAAACATAAAGACTGCATATTCTGTACTACTAAATAAGGCTTCTATATTTTGCTGTGTGGCAATTTTAAAAATAAGGTAATGTAGGCTGGAGATTGATGGAATGGAACAAATTTTGAGTCTTGAATCATGTTGACATCAAATTGAGCTGTGCACGTAATAACTAAGTTTTTGTTTTACTTGATTATTTTGTCATCATCTAGTCAGCTGACTCAAACCTTTCCATCCTCCTGAACATATATTTGAAGTCTGTTGGGATCATTCCTGCTTGGGAATTTTAACAACCAGTTGCCTTGTTTTTTCCATATTCTGAATATTCCTCTCGTTTCCATTGATCAGTTGGGCAGTCAGTGCAAGATTGTGCCAAAACATCATTCATACCTCTTTCACTGAGTGTGTTAGTGAGGCTGAGAGCTCTACTGTCATGATTTAGGGTAAATCTCCCTTTTGTCATACAATTCAATATGTCAATGTTCAAGCTATTGCAGGACTATGATTTTCTCCATTTCTTTCTGAATCCCTGCAATAGCACACTACCAGAGGACATGCAATTTATGTTTGTTCAAATCAACTTGCACATTAAATCGCTAATTTGTACAATTTTAACTTACCATAATAGAATTATGGTTTGTTTGAAAGGTCAATAGTGCTGAAAGGTGGCGAGTGTTTAGTTAGACCAAAAAAGCAAGGACTCCAATCTAACAAAGTAAGAACATGATTGTATTTGTAATTATTTGATTATTACAAAGGAAACTAAAAGTAAAGAGCATAAACTAAGGGAAGGCATTTTCAACGTTGAAAGGCTCTCCTAAAACTTACATTACAAAAAGTGAGAGTCAGCTAACAAAATTATGGCACAAAGAAAATTTTTGTTGTCATTAATGGTGAATGCCTGATGTTTCTATTGAACATCTGTCACGCTACAAATACACCTAGGCCTCTAGTCTCTTTAGCAGCAGCTGTGACAGTTGGAGGAGGAGGAAGGTCTGTACGAAGACGCCTGAAGAGTAACACATGCGGTTCTGAAATTTCATTAACAAAATTATTTCAACACAGATACCAAATAAATCTGAGAAATGACACTGACAATTCCTCTTTACCTGGAGTATGCATCATGTAGTGTACCCAGCCTGGACTTTGCTGTACTCCTAAGTTTCGCCATTCTGTCTCACTCATCAAGTGCGTTTTGGGAATTTGAGCAGCAAGCTCGGTATTAGTAAGTATAACATGTCTGAAAACAAATTAAACAATGGACAATTTAAATCAGAATAAGAAATAGGAATTAAATTGGTACGCTGTTGGTAGAAGCATCGGGCTGTGAAAGCCTCCAACTATGTAACTCTGAGCAAGTTAGCACTAACCTGTATTCGTAAGTATCGTCGTAGTACTTGTCTGAGTACTGCACCTGGTCGACTGGCATTTCGATTTCGGGAGACAGAGAAACCGACAAGTAGCTTGTGACACAACCTTAACAAGAATTGAAATAGAAAATGTAATAGAATTTCCCCGAAACGACGCCCCTAAAATACAGCGTTAAAACCGCGAACCGGGAAAAGGATCATACGACTTGCCTTGTAGTTGGCGCGAAGTTTTGATTCGAATGAACAAGAAAACATCTGACGTGAAACACCTACTGCGCAGGCGCAAGCGCAAACCGTAGTTTTCCGCCTTGTCTGAAGTTCAGTAACGGCTTTCCTTCGTACCCCTTCGATTATCAGCCCACATGAATTACCTTCCACCGTCTTCAAAGTGCACTGATTTACCTCGAATTTTCGCTCTTGATTTTTCATTTGACTCGCTCTATAAGGCGGTCCCCCAACCCTGAGGCCCGCATAAGCAGCGCGGAGAAGAGTGGCAATACCCCATGCTAAAAGGCGCTACTCCATGTCACAGGCTACGTTGGGGCCGGCCGAGTTGACGTGGTCGCCGCTAGATGGCTCTGCGACAGTCCTTCGGGGCGGCGAGCGGGTATTTTAAAAGCTCATTCCGCAGGGAATCTATAGATATTTAGGGATATTATAGAGCATTACCCACTCGAAAGGAAAACGTCATCACGAAAACCTCCTCCCAGGGTAGGAAAATGAAGCAAACTGCATTCGAACCGCATTATATGTCCCATCTGAAACACGCATTTTAGGCGCATATACGCTTATAGCAGCTCTGCTACGGTACCTGGGCTTGTGATCTCTTTAGGACTTTACGAGGTAACCATTCTTGCACTTGTGACCTCACTGGTGACCTCACAAGTGCAAGAATCGTGACCTCGTTAGTCATAAAGAGGTCACAATGAGGTCTCGGTGAGAACCACATTTTCCTTGGGCTGCGTTTGATCTTGCAAATCGTCAGCTCAGAATGTACATAAAGCTAATGTACAAAACAACTACGTCGAATAACTACGTGCATGAATCTGAGCATGCTCAACTATGCATGATTTTGTTGATGTAAGTACCAGGTGGCTGACTTAGCCTGCACTTCACACTATCAGAGTTATACTGTACCGTGTATGCACGCGAGCGGCGTGGGCTGCCTACCCGCACGGGGCCGCAGGGAGCCGTGAGCAGCGAGGATAGGCAAACCCACTCGCACCCGTGCATCCGGTACAGCAAAACTATACGAAGGGCGTGGCGTGGAGGCAGCCCACCGGGTATCATATTTCTACACAACAGCACACGAATTCACTGCAAGTAGAGGAGTGAGCTCCTCTGATGTTGTGAATACAATTTCATGACTCCCGAGGGAGCGACATCAATAGTCACATCACTCGTTTTGAGTCAGTTTTGCGATCATATTGACATCGATGTGGCTCAAAAAATGCATTTTTGTCATTCAAATCATGGAAGGTCGAATCAACACAACATCGAAGCGACGAGATTTTCATTTCTGGCACTTAAAATAGTGTTATGATTTTTAGTGTACGCTACTTGCGCCGTATTACTGTGTACCTACTCACGTACATACGAAATTATATGAAAGTGCGTACAAAAAGGTTAATAAGAATTTACTGTGTAGATGACTATATGGCAACTGGAAAAAGATGGGGAAGTCCAAAACAACGTTCGGGACAGTGTCACTTACTCCTTGTTGATCCCTTACTTAGCCCTCAGTAAGTCGAAGGAGAGGTGGAGGGTATAGGGGTAGTAAGTATATTAAGTAAGAGTGTCTAGTTGCGCGTTTTTACTGATGGGTAAAGCGATCCGAGCTAGGGTCTAAGAGAGAGAGAGAGAGAGAGAGAGAGAGAGAGAGAGAGGAAAACAGAGGACGCGTAACCAAGAGGGAGAGGGCTGAGTGGGGGAGCGAGGGGCGGAGCCTGCTGTTGGCCACCAATTGGGAGCGTGGAGGTGCCGGGATGCTGACCAACCAGAGGCGAGCTCTGAACCGAGTGCCATGGGGCCATGGGCGTACCCGGCCCGCCCGTGCGATTCTGAGAATTAGGAGTATAGTATTCATTTTTTATACCAACGGGTGAGGGGAAGGGGGGGGGGAGGACACTGGGAGCGCTGTCGAGACCCTGGCGTCTGCTGATAATACCTTTTTGGAATGCGTCGGGTATACAGGGTGTTGGTTCTGAGTGTACACAAGTTTTTGAAAGGGCATATTTTAAAAATTTACGTCCTGGAGTCACAACATTGCGTTTTGGATGAAACTTTTACCAGTTGTTAATATTATAATATCATGAGTAACGCATCCTGGCTGGCTCAGTATAACAGTCATGACAATCCAAAGGACAGTTTTGACGGCGATTTTGGACTCATTTCACCATTTGAAGTGAAATGCCCAAAACAATGGGATTCAAACGAAAAAAATTTGAGCGGAAAGAGCAAAATCCGTTTCGTGAGACTTAGTTGCTATTCTGCAACAAAATATTTTGGATTTTGCTGCTTTTTTGGCCGTTGCTGGATTTGACAGTTTTGTTTTACTTTTCGACAAAAAATAATTGATTACTGCTTATGCTGTACCGCTTTCAAGCATGTAAGCGGGTTGCCTCTTTGCTATGCGTTAGGCAGGGGACAGGGGCGATAGGCAAGCCCGCCCAACGTTCCCGCGTGCGGCACAGTATACCAGGTGGCTCACACACGCCGCGCGGCACTTTCATTGTTATACCGTACCGCATGCAATCGTGTGGGCAGGATGCCTACCCGCACGGGGCCGTAAGGAGCCTTGGGCATCGAGGATAGGCAAACCCGCCTGCACCCGTGTATGCGGTACGGTACGCCGTACAGTATAGCTAAGAAATGCGCAGCGTGAATCAGGCACCTGGTAGTATAAGCAGAAAAGAAAAGAACACCTATCAATGAATATACATCAAGACGTGGATTGGTCAAAACTTCGTCAAAACTGGGACATTTTTGCATCAAAATTTCGTTTTTAACGTCGTCAGATTGACATGAAACTGACGTGCCTTCATTCAGCATTTCTCGCTGGGTAGCAACAATGTCGGAATATACCAGGTGGCTGATTCACGCCACGCACTTTCGTAGTCATACTGTACCGCATGCACGGGTGCAAGCGGGTTTGCCTATCCTCGGAGCCCACGGTTCCTTACGGCCCCATGCGAGTAGGCACCCCGTCCGCACGCGTGCATGCGGTACAGTATAACTACGAAAGTGCGCGGCTTGAAACAGCCACCTGGTATAGACTACGATGCACACGGTAAAAATGGTTTCTGATATTTCAAGACCTGGTCTTACACCCCCAAAATTGCGTGTTCTTTAGTGAAGTAAAGGTGCTCGGCTGATCTGAGAACATTGTCTTGTCTCAATGCAAATTGCATTGGTGAATGAAAACTGCATTGCCGCGATTCAAATGTTCTTGAGAAATCGGGGGTCAAGAACATGCTTTCCTGGATGTAGTTTTACCGAGTGCTACGATCAAGGAGCAAAAAAGAGTAGTCAACCGGACGAATCAAAAAGTGAACAACCGGCTCCCCCTATACCGCTTGCGATATATATTCAGTACAGTAATAAGCAAATCACACATGTAATTTTATATTTAATATTATGTACCAATATCATCTGCTAAAAGTACAGGGTCTATGGCGGAGGTAGTATTACTGGTTCAAAAGTCCATCGCATCCAGCAGCGGTCCAATTTCCTAGCCAGGATTTCAACAAACCGATTAAATGCACTGAATGCTACAATGCACCTGAAAGTAGGCAAAAAGCTTAGTAGCGTAGCCCCCCCCCCCACCCCTTTCCTTCTAGAGGCTATCTGGGGCCTCTCGCCTGGCTCTCCCAGCCCCGCGGCGACACGCTCGGTCAGGTCAGTGCGAACGGAACAAGATTGGTCCAAACAGCCGCGAGCCAACGCTCGAGCTATCGAGCAAGGCAGAGATTGACGCCGCCTCCCAAAGCGTTCACGGTCAATCGATGGCCTGGTCGATCCCCTAATTGCTTAATTGATAACTCGCTCATTAAGCTTGCCCGGGTCCCCTTGCATGGCAGTCTGGTCTATTCGCGTGAGTGTGACCCGCCCACACGGCGCGGGCTACCCTCAGGACGCCCCACCCCGAACCACCGGCCAGGACAGGCTTTCTGGACAAAGTATCCCGCCCTCTTGTGAGAAATGAATCGACGTCTCAAGTCGCCCTGATTTCGTCCGCACAAAGCGAGGGCAATCTCAACGCTAAGTCGATATTCAGTTTCTCTCTCGCTAGGCGCGATTGCAAGGCGTGAGGTCACGTGATTCGATTCGTAGTCGCGGAGAGTTCCGGCAACGCTTCTGGATTGGTGATATTTCTTTTCGGGGGTGGGGGTGGGTGTGAGGGGACGCCCCAGGGCCAGCTTCACCTCACCTGAGTTCTCCCGGCCCTAGAGGAGCCGGCAACCATTACGTCTAATTGTCTCCCCGTAATTACCTTTGTACGCCGTCGTCCACTGCACGACCCTGTGCCCGGCTGCAGCGGCCCGGCGGAGCACCGGCTTGGCAGGCAGACCAGCGTGGCTCTCTGAGCCACTCGGGTACAACAGGCTGACTGAGCTGCACAGATACCCCCTGTGTGAGCTGATAATATGCAACATAGGGAAAGATGACAAGTTTCACTCACAACTTTTCGATATCTGAGTGTGGAGTTTTTCATACATTTAAATAAATTAGTAGCCTCGTTCCGGGTGCCGGGTGCTGTGCCGTGCCGTGCCCGTTGCCCGTGCCGTTGCGTGCCGTGCCATGCTCGCCCTCGCCCTCCCAGTGTTGACATTGCGCATTGCCCTGACTTAGGTTTTCTGTTCGCTGCAGTGTAGCGTCGTTTTGTTGGAAATGTGTTTCAAAACGTGTCATAATGTCGACTTGTTGTTAGACATCATCACAACAGATGTGAATTTCGTGCCGCACTGTGCGGTGCCCGGATAAACGGGACTCCCAATCACTAACCTATCTGGGTGAGTACTCAATAATAACCCCAGTAGCAGATAATTGTCTCAACTTGTTACATTGTCGTAAATTATTTTCCAAAATGTACATTTTCACTGTGACATATGTTCTTTTACATTAATATTATCAAAATCTTGAAATAACTGGGATGTTTCGGTGAAAGTTGATATCTTTGTTATATCATCACTTTACGCTGATATTTATGGTCACAATGGTATCTCAGTGATGTCAAATTTTTGTCAATATTGGAAGAACCAATGTCATTTTGACAAGGTATATTGTGATAAATAATTGATGTCAGTGTGAGAATTTGAAACAAATCTCTGTTAAGAGGGGAAATAGCTTTCATGGCCACGAA